CGGTGTTACAGAGTACAAAAATAAAGTAACCGCAACCAACCCTGTTACCTGTTGTTTGAATAAAATATATATGTTTTATTTATGCTTAGAATTACATAATTATATTGATTTTGGCATAACAGTTAATCTAGCTTGATATAAGATACCAAGCAGCACTTGTTCATTCAATCTTATATAAAATATTCGCATTATAAATAAGCTCTATGTAAATAGCAAAGTTATTTAAAGACTTTAATGAAATTTGTTTTGGCAATTCTTTTCACCCCGTTTTACTGAACGTTATATATTTAGCCTTGTTAAGTTGAAGCAAGCAAAGTTGAGGCGAAGCAAAAAATATAAATGGAATTTTGCTTAGACGTTGACCTTCTCGGAATCGTTAGCAGCCGTAACGGTACTGTCGTCCCCCAGGTAGGCTCTGTAAACTGTACACACGAAATATTGCTCGACCATTACATTTTACAGAGAAATGACGGAATTTAACAGACAGAGCATGAGTATCATAAATATCAATTTTTTTTTATCTACAAAATTCATTGAACTTAATATTGTAGATAAATCGTAGTAGTTTATAGTAAATAACACCTAAATTACTATGTTTAAAAAAGAGAACCGAAGTCTAAAATATTATAAGAAATATTTATCTCTTCGTGTATCGATATTTTAAATAGCACATTCTGATAAACTGTACACTATGAACCCAAATGATTCAGTTTTGTTTAAAACCGGCTCAGTCTATCGACACAAGATCTGGATCTCATGTTTATGTATCATTTCATCTAACGCCACACACATCCCACATGGTGCCACCCACTTTTTGCCGGCGTCAACGAATCGCCGTTCAAAAACACTTAATGACAAATGAGACCAAATATTGACGACATAAAAACAAAGGGACCGCCGGGGGCGGGCCGGTGTCAATCTCGAGAACAAATACGAAATGTTTGAGTAAGGAATTAGGCGACACTTTTAGTTTGTTTGCACCGTTTGACTATGTGGGAAATCGGCTTTGAAGAGATCCGAACAAACCGAACGAATATATAGGCAGAATGCAGCAAAATCAATGCAATGCTGTGTGATGATTATTGTATTTTTGGTAGACACACCATTATAATTATTGTAAGTTTTTTAACACTTCTGTTTTCATACAAGTCCAGTAAAAAAAATTAAGAGACATTCGTATATAAATATTTTGTCATTATAAATGTAATATTTTTAACACTCATATTTACATGTGAATATGTTACGTGCATGCTAAAAAAAATGTTTTATTTTTACCGCTTACGCTATATTTTCTTCTTAAGACAATTACAAGACGTAACAAGGGACCGTAATAATCACAGCACTGGTGACCGTGAGAGACAATAGCTCGTGGGAACACTCGCCCACCCCTGGGTTCGAGTCCCGGTCGCACCGTGACGGTGGGGTGCGAAATGTGTGACCGGCTTCACATCCGGAATGTTTTGTTTATTAATTTATAAACGAAGATGAGTGAAAATGTATATTATTTAAAGAAAAACGTAATTTGAATCCTTTTCTAAGCCCGTGTTCTATTTTATTCCGTGATACATTAAGAACTCTTTAGATTTTTTTAGCTTTAATTACTTTTTTTATTAAACTATAATTAGGTACATTTTAATTATTTACAAAATAGAATCTTAATTCAGGCCATATAAAATTTAAATATAAAACCTATTGTTCTCATATAATATCTCAATCCTCTAGGTACTACTATCTGAGTGAAATTTACGAGCAGCACATATGACATACATAAGGGAAAAATAATTTGCTCTGACACAGTTTGAAGATTTTTCTCATATTATGCATTATGAAAGATTATCTTTTTATATGCAGGCACAGTAAGGCATAAGTACTTGCAATTAAGCTCAGCGTTTTTTTCTCTAAAATATATTGGTTTAAGGTATTAACTTGAACTTATGTGCACTATATACCTACAAGAGTTGACTAAAGGTTAAAATGTAAGACATATGTGTTGTTAATTTTGGTAATTTGCAAGATTATTTTTTTAAAACTTATTAGGTTAAATTTAGCTAATAATTGTAAGTATCACAAATATTTATGCATTTTTATCAACTCTCATTTTGACCGACGTACAAATAGGAGGTGCTCAATTTGCTTTAAATTTATTTTTAATTTATATTAATATTATATTAGATTACTTAAAAATGTATATTTAAAAAAATACGTTTTTTTGAGAAATGAAATATCAGTAATACGTGTAACATATAATACTTATCTTCAATCATCTCGATAACAAATGAAATAAATAAAATAAGTAAGTTTGTCCGGAGTTTATAGAATTAGCTTATAGGTACTTATTAATAATATTAAGCGTTTGTATTTTATATTTGGAAGATATTTTTATAACATTTTGTTAAGTAAAAAATAAAATATAGGTCTATTTATTACTAAAATTAAGATATGGTTAGTGTCTGAGAATCTAATTTTGTTAAATTAGATTGTTGTCATATAAATTGAGAACTGCTCATAGAAATGATAATGTATTCACGCCATACGCCACTACACCCCATCGATAGTAAGTGAAAGTAGTGTTTAAATTAATACGGCTTAAACACTGGGGCGGGATCGCAGGATCGTTGTCCCGGGGGACGAAAAAGTGCCTGAATCTATCAACTATCCCGGGATTTGATTAAATCCAATCTCACCCCTTGCGTGTTGACAGTAATTGATTGAAACGCGACTTTCCTTGTTGTTAACTTTCTTGTTTCAATTGTATATACGAATTCATTTGACAAAACTTGTATTTTTTAAGCGCGTGCAAATAGTGTTTTTAGTAGGTATTTAATATTTGTAACAAATTTAATGTGTTTATAATAAAATAGGCTTAAAGAAAGTTCAATACTTAATTATAATGTGTTCATTTCTTCTTCTTATTTCTTTAATGCAAATAATTTTGTTTTTTCTTATAGGTATCCAATGTTTTATATACAATACCTACATTGAATTGAAAAAACCATATTGTTGTTAATAAAATATGTTCCAGATAGAATATTTTTTTGGTATTATTATATATAGGTAGGTATATATATAAAACAAAGTCGGGTTTGTTACAACACTTATAGTTCGAGAACTGCTGGACCGATTTCATGGTTTTTGATTTGTTGGATGTGTCTCCGCCCCGAATAGCAGAATAACTATTAAAACAGAAAAAAATACAAAAAAAAAATTGAAAAAAAATATATATATTCCATACTAAGTGTCAAATCGTACCTAGGGACGAATCTGAGCGAAGTCAGGGTGAGTCGCTAGTTACTGATATAAAGTATAAAAGATATATATAAAAAAGGATTTTTAAAGTAAATTAATTATAACTTACCGGTATAACATAGGGAATTATTATTTATTTAAGCAAGTTTTTGTATGAAATAATGAAACAAAAATTAACAAAAAATAGTCAAATATTTTGGTACTAATGGATTTAGTGCGCAAATGAACTTTGCACAAATACTAAAAATAATACCTGAGGTACATACGTACAACAGTATGTATGTACCTACATATATGTAAATGGTTTTTAATCCTAATTTATATTCTTTAAACGTTTAAGTTATAACGATTCTCCTTTTTATATAAATGTCAAAATCGGAGAACTTGAGTATTTAAATTTAATATGTATTTAAATTTGGTATTAGTTAATTTTCTAGTTCATAGTACATATTTATGCAATGTATGTATGTACCTATTATGAAACCTTCACAAGGTATTATCCCTTTATTCATTTAAATAACTAATTATACTGAAAAATAATAATAAAAAAACACCGCAAGAGGCTTTTATCCTATTTTAAATCTGAAATGTTCCGCACATCTTAATAATTAAATTTAAAAAAAGTTCCACATTTTTAAATATTTTAGCGAATAGTACTTTTACTATCCATAATTTACTTCTCTATGTAATTATGCTATCCATCATGTTAAATTTACTAAAAATGAAGAAATTTTAAAATGTATTTTTCTTAATACGCTCTGTGCAATTACACTATTATGTAATATATATATTAAAATTTTGTCTTATTTTAACTTCCTGTCCATTCAAAAGAAAAGATGAAAACAAAAAAAAAAATTATTATTACACCTTTACTAAACCAATTTATGTTAAATTAAAAACTTATAGTGCGCGTTGAAATCTTTGCTATGAAATTACTGAATAGATAAGTATTTGTCTTATTTTGTAAGTTTATAGAAATACATTTTATTGTTGAATATCATAAAATGTTTCATTTAACATTAATTCATTTAAAGGGTATAAAAGTTGGGATTCCAGAACAAAACAGCAGATACAGTTTTAACGCGTCGTTTATTGATAACTTCATTTTCTCTTCAATATACTTTGTGTCCACTGACTATATAACACTCACTGTACATTTTTGTATTACAATATTTAGTCTTTCGAGGCTTCATAACTTTCGATCCATATAACAAATATTTTGTACAATACACGACGGGCGTACGAGTGTCGTCGTGGCACGTCTTATCACTATCTACCTACTCTTTATCGACTAACTTTATCATCAATCTAACCTTTAACACTATATGTACATATTGTTCAAAATTTTTTTGGTATTCAAATAACCTCGATCACACTACCTCATCTTTCACGCAGCCTTACGCCTAATCTGTCTTCCATCCGCACAGCACAACTTAGAATATTTTAACTTAAACCATGAAAAAATACAATAATCATAATATAATACAAGTATTCATCAACAACATTTAATTGAACGTTTGGCCGTCGGCAGCGAGCCGAGTTCTCGCTAACGTCAACAGTCCGTAACACTAACATGGGCGGCGATCGGCCACAGTACATTACAAAACAAATAAAGGACATACCTAGAAGTATGTACGCTGATAACGATCACTGTCCTAAGCGAACAAGTCGCAACAAAGTCACTGAGGGAGCGCGGCGACGCAACCAGCTCATAGCGGCGGGATGTCGATGTCGCACGCGAAAGGCGATTCTCAGATGAGCGGCATCGCGCGCTCTCCGGCGGCGGCGTACCGCTGTTCGTCGGGCACGTGGTACATATTGATGATGTGGCTCAGGTCCTGCTGCCCGTACTCACGCTTCATCGCCAGCTGCTCGTGGGGGTGCGTCTGTCCGGGTATGTGTCCGTGCGCGCCGAATTCACGTTTTAATTGCGCAGGGGGTTCATGGGACACATACTCGCGCTTCAGGCCTGGTGGTCCGGGAGATACGGGTTCTGACTTGGCAGAGGAGCCGCTGGGGGAATGCGATGCGCAGGAAGCCGGTAGAGCGTATCCGCCCGGCGAGCCTGGGCCCAGCCCGTACGCAGAGGGCGACGGCGGCTGTGGAAGGTATGGCGATCCCTGCCCTCCGCCGTAGTATCCACCTCCGTAACCGCCCTGCTGCATTTGCGATACATCGTAGCGTGGATATCCATACGCCTGCTGCTGGTAAGCGCTAGGATCGTGCATCATGTATCCGTTAGGCATGTAACCGTTAGGAGTCATTTGATACACATCGCGCGGCTGTTGCGCCGTTGGGGCAGCCGTTCTTTGAGCGTCACCCGCTCCTAGTAATGCTCCGCCACCCAAAGGATACTTCTCTTGCTTTTTCGCTAGTGTCTTCGTTTTCCTCCTCGGTCTATATTTATAATCGGGATGTTCTTTCATGTGAACGGCTCGAAGCCTCTTCGCTTCGTCAATGAACGGTCGCTTCTCAGATTCTGAGAGATCTTTCCACTGTGCACCTAAACGTTTAGATATTTCTGAGTTATGCATTTTAGGATTATCCGATGCCATCTTTCTTCGCTGCCCGCGCGACCACACCATAAACGCGTTCATAGGACGTTTCACCCTCTCCGCATTGGAGTTCTTGCTGGTATTATTGTTGTTGTTGTTCGGAGGTTGATGGTGCTGTTGTTGGGGCTGCGTGTGGTGCTGAGGCAGGGGTTGGTGTTGGTGATGCTGCAGCGGCTGGTGTTGCGCCAGCTGTTGTTGCTGCGGCAGCGACATCATGCCACCGAGCGCGCCCAACGAGCCGTAGCCGTGTTGAAGCGCGTGGTGCGGCGGCACCGTAGCGTGCAGGCTGCCGCCCTTTAAATCCGTCTCCATCGTCAACATGTCGTCTTCCTGCGGCGCGTACAGCTTGCCGATCCTTCGTTCACCGTACACAACGAGAGAACTGTCGGTCGCTCACATGGACTCGCGGCGGTGCGCGTCGGAATAACGTCTCGCGGTACCGTGCGACGCGAAGGCTACGTGCGTTGTGAGGTGGCCGTCCGACGGGCGGCGGCGAGTGCGCTCCCCCCCGCGCGCGGCCCCGGGCCCGCCCGCCCGCGCGCGCGCCAATGGCAGCCGGTCGCGGCTCCGCCCCTCCCGCGCTCTCCCACCCGCCGAGTCCTGCATTTTTAATCGCGTGGCGACTGAGGCGAGCGTACGCCTCGCCGCCGCCTCATGCAAATCACAATTTTGTTTGCCGACGGTGGTTGCACCTCCTCGACCTTAGTTTATATTGTAAACAACGTACGCTATCTAACTCTTTTTAGAGCGCTACTTGAAATTTCAATTAAGAAAACCTTCCGCCCATGCCTACTAGTTTTGTTGGATTATTAGGTACATCTCAAACATTCCTGTCATGTATGCAACACGTCAGTTTTTACAAAAAAGGCTGTATAAATAAGTACATGTTCGCTCTGACGTAGATACTTAGTTACTAAGATAAAACAACTGAATCGATCTAAAAGTTAGCACAGCTGTGAGCTAAGTTCAAGGCCTGACGTAGTGAGTCGCTGCCTTCTCGCTAATGTCTACAATAATTCAGATAGTCATTGATGATCACTTACAATATGCCTTTGTTCCTGTCCACAATAGACTTTTCAATTTGAGCATTCATTGACTGCATTATGCTATATATAAACAATAACATAGTAGGTATGCCACAAGGCCAATTTTACTATTCTTTTTGTCAGCTGTTTGGGACAAAACAGTGTAATCCTACAAAACATAGTATTGAATTTAACGGCAATAAGTTGCTTTGTAAGATATAATAGGTACTGTATTACGTATAAATTCAGTGGCAAAAAGGTAAACAGCGGTGTTTACTGAGTTTGCGTAGAAATGTCTGTTTGTTTAGTTGTTTATTTGAAGCCGATAATGTAAAAACCCTACCTAAAAATTGCGTACCGAAGTCAAAAATTTTGTAGCAGAGATATAGAATTTTAGGCTTAGGATATTTTGGTAATAATTTTTAAATATTAGTATTTATTAACATTACTTATATATACTAGGTATGAACCTATATAATACTTACGTATTTATTAAAAAAATCCGTATAATGCCTAGATCTACTTGATACTCGGTACTCTACCTATGCCATAAAAGATAGGTAGGTATTTAGTGAGTGATAAGAGGTATCTTCTACAATATTCAGTAAGTACGTACCTATTTACACACACATTTAGTAAGTGTTGCTATACAAAAAAAATGCACGTATATACGTGCATTTTTTTGCTTGTATTTATATTTATTTGAGGATATGAAACAAAAATGTCTATAAACATTCATAAAGTGTACCTTTATATTTTATGCCTTAATAATAAGTAGGTTTATTATGTGTTCATTTTAGTCTAAAGTTTTAAACAGAGTTATGTTATTGCTTTTCTACAATATTCATGAAATAATTTTTTTAAATATGATGTTAAAATTTATCAATTTGAATGAAATATACCAATAATTAGCAAAATCATTGTATACTACCTAAAAAATTTAATCCTATTAATTTAAAAATATTTTTTTTTATCCTACCTAGTACCTACCAACACTAGGTGTCTAATACCTACTACCTGCCTTGAAATACTTTTTTATATAATTTGATTGATCTTTCAAAATTTTGGGTAGGTACTTGTATAAAACTTACCTATATTGATAAAAAAGATGTTACAGGATTTATTTATTATGTAGGTACTAATTAGCTAGAAATATAGATAATAAGATAGTAAAAGAAAGTTTTAATGTATGTTCGTCATATTTGAAGTTGTCATGTCAAGTTTCGTCATGTTTTGACTGCTAAAACCTAAAACATATATCAATGCTTTTTTGGCTTGACTTAATATATATCTATATTAAATCTATCTATACCAAGCTTCATTAAACTGAGGTCCTGAATGACAAACAGCGCCAAGCCTAAGCTGATGGACCTAGGAGACCTGTAACTTTAGGGGTGTTGATTAAAAAAAAAATCGATTTATTATAATTAGAAAAAGTGCTCTGCGAATTAAAGATAAGAATTTATCATAAATATTAGTTAAAAAAAATAATAATTACAAAATAAATGTTCGCAAAAATCTAAATACCTACTTATAGATAAAGACTATTATCATATATACGTATATGTTTTGCCAAAATTTATGCTTGTTACCTTTAAAGAAATTTAACCTTCGCTTTGCCATTAATTATGACTAATTAACCGATAGTCTAACTAACGGTAAATATTTTAAACAAAAGCATTTTATAGATAAGGCATGTTTCCAGTAAGTAGACAGTTTCACAGAAATTTAAGCTAAGCGTGCTTTTCGGAATGTTTGAACAAAATTCTTTTGTTAAAGGATTTCACTTTTTTGGTATCTATATTTTAAAGTTTAATAGTCTTTTTTGTTAAAGTTTATTAGTACTATTATATTTTTTAAGCATCTGCACTAGATTCTATTTTCATATAATATTATGTTCTTTTCAAATTTATATTCATATAATTTTTTATTTTATATAATTTTTTATTTGATTTATATTCATATAATATTATGTTCTTTTCAAATTTTCAATAACGATTATGGTCGAATTTCGATCACTAGGCGAATACATAGAATTTCGATCCGATTAGTTTAAAAGATGTGGATTTGTTACTTTTATTTTATAATAATATTAGGTAGTACCTTATAGTGGTAGATATGTAGGTAGGTAGTAAATTAAATGTTTGGTGAAATTTTAACATATGCAAATAATTGATATTTTAATGTTATTAATTTTTTGTTATTTATTCTTATTAGAATTAGATTTAATCTAATATGTATATAAAATTTCCATGTCACAATGTTAGTTACCGTACTCCTCCGAAACGGCTTTACCGATTTTTACCAAATTTTATATGCGTATTCAGTAGGTCTGAGAATCAGCTACTATCTATTTTCCATACCCCTAAGTGATAAGGGTGGTCCTCCCAGACCCCACCCCAGGGACGAACCCGAGCGGAGCGAGGGTAAGTCGCTAGTATCTCTGTATTTACCGTATGTGAAAATTAATAAAAATTAATTTATTTTTCTATAAATAAGTATTAAGTATAGTCATAAGTAGGTAATATGTAGGTATACTTCTAGTCATGTCTATATTTCAATGTATTTCTAAAGATTTTTCTAATAATTTTAGTTGGTCTATTCAAAACCCTGTTTATCCTCAAAATTTAATAAATAAATAAAAAAAAATAAAAAAAATAATTAAATATAACAAACAGGCGCAAACTCATCAATAAAGAAATAAAACAAGGATTGCTCAAAAAAATGTTTTATTAGGTATTAAATGGGTATGTAGAAAATGAAACAAATATTTATTCATAGTTTTATTGTTTAGATAGGTAGGTACTAAATAGTGGATAGAATCCCGCAGACGAGTGTCGTAGGTAAGAAACTACACAAGTAGGTACCTACCTACTTGAATATATTGATTAAAAGTGCATTAATATTAAATTATATACTTATCAGTGCTCAATAACTCAATGGTAGGTTTTGAATCAAACTTATAAATAACAAAATTTATTTGAAATATGACAGTGCGTTTAGACTTGTATAGTTTTAAAAATAAAAATAAAAATGTTTGAGTAACTATTACATCGTCAATCCCGATCAAATGAGCTCTAACTCGATGGTTTTATTAGTAGTTTGGATATCTATACATATAATAAAATTGTTATTAACCGAATCTGTACATTAAATATTTTTTTGAGAATCTTATTGAAATAGACATTATTATCGATACAGAGGCCGAACCTATAGTTTTTAGAATTTTTGTCTGTCTGTCTGTTACCGCATCACGGAAAAACCACTGGAAGGATTTTGATGAAATTTGGTATGATGATAACTGGTTATCCAGGTCAACATATAGGATACTTTTTACCGCGAGTAAATGTCTCATTTCTGAAAAAAAATACAAAAACTGCAAAGTAAGAGTATACTAATATGTAAAACCTATGAATTTGGTTTTTGGTCATTTGAACGCGGGCGGAGCCGCGGGCAATGCTAGTTATGCATAAGTTTTAAATTTATCATACAATACCTACTTAACTACAAGTGAAGTTAATTAATATGAGAACTTTAATTGCTCAACTTTTTACTCGTACATAGGTACAGTTGTAAGCTAGAAGTTACATTTTACTTGGTTTTTTGTATTCAATATGTTGTTAACTTGTAAGTCGCTTAGACGATTATACTAAGCATGGAAATGATTGCTACTTTTAAATCATTATCACGTGATGAAATTACAACAATTTTTCACGTGATTTCACCTGCTACTTTTCACGCATAGATTTTTGATTTCGACGGTCTGGTGTCACACTTTATATTATTTGCTATTAAAATGAAGTATGAAATGTCACTAATGGCGCTACTGATGGGATATGGAGCAGAGATATAGATCTGACGTAGTTGCATACGTACATGGTGCTTTGAATGAACCTATTTTCAAACAATGAACTTTCCCTCATACTTCTACAGGCTTGGGACTGACAATGTAAAATTAAATGAATTTTAAATATATCAGAGTAATCACACGGTAAAATTGTATTAAGCTAAGTTCCATAATTACATTGGCGTATTTAAAAGTTCATTGTTTTTATGTACAATAAGAATTTTTATAAAAGAATTTTATACACTTTTTTTTTTGTTTTTCTTAATTTTTTTAATTTGTTTATAATCATTTTTTTTGCTTTTTGATTTTTTTGATGATTGATTTTTTTATGAGATATCTATATACAATAGTCTTCATTGCTTTTTAAAAATACAAGTTCCGCTGTTCGTTTTCTGCTTAATCGTGCTCTTTTTTGGGTTGCAAAATTTCCCGCTTTTGAAAATACTCTCTCACACTCCACTGATGTCACCACGATGTGACAGTGCTCATGAAATATTTCCGCCAAATTGGGGTACATATAGGAGTGAGATTTCCACCAAACTAATGGCGAAGAATCGCGCGGAAGCACTGGTTCATTAATAAACATTTCTAGCTCGTTCTCAGCGTTGGTGGTTATGTCTGTACGTATTACACATAATCATTCAGTAAAAATTATAAGTATTTGTTGGATAAAAAACTAAAAATGTGCTCTAAATTTAATTGTTGTTTCTAATTTAAAATTATTTCTAAACAATATTTCTAAGAATCCGAAATCATGCAACTCGAAATAAATAAACTCCCCAATTTACTGATCAACGGTATTAACTGAAAATTGTATTTTGTTGAATAAAAAATCAATAAAAACATCAGTACGAAAATGTATACGGAAAATGCGAGTAACGAAATGCATTCGTGAGTAACGTTTCGGTACTCGGTACTAGATGGCGTACCCGTTACTCAGTAACGAATACATACGGTTTGCTACAGCTCTAGATTTCACCAAGTTGTGATTTGTAGCAGCCACTATGAATTTAAGTAGCAGGTGTGACGTATGATTACGCATTTCACGTGATTTTTCACTTGCTACTCGTGAAATGTTCCATCCCTAGATTATACTGATTGTAAAATATTGTTACCTAATCTTTATATACCTTATACCTATGTTTATGACTTAACTTTATGCTCTAGTTTAATTAAGACTTTGAACTTTACATGGACAATTACTTCTCTATTTTAATAATAATATATTACAGTACATGGTTAGTGTGTATGAACCTACATATTTTTGAAACTATATACATACCTATCTAATTGTTATGTTTTTTCTCATTAGTCCATATTAGCATTAAGGGTAATGCAATCGTGTTTCCGTTACAACTCTACATTTGTATTAAATTTTGAATCATTTCAATGCTCGCGAATTAATCATTCCCATTCAATTTGAGAGCGATGGAGTTACAGTTAAAAATGAAAAATCAACACCTCGGCACAACTGAAAACCACTAGTGACAACGCATCGAGTCATTCAATAATTGCTGGCTAAATAAAAAGCTAGCAAAACACTCGGCGCGTCCTAATTGGTGCGAGGTGTCGCTAATGACAGCGCGCGAGTGTCGCTGCAAATTAATAATTATTACGCCTGGCAACACTGAAACGCGCCGCAATATGGCCGCCGAGCATTGTTGGGAATCGTAAGTTTCGTTAGCAATTATTAATCTGTTGATTTTATTTTTTGTTGATCCTAGAAATGGTGTCGGAAATTAATGAGAAATATTTTAAAGGGAACATTTTTATGATGCTTATATTTTTAGTAACAATTTTGTAACTTATAGGGCTGGAACTGAAATGACAAATAAATGGTGTTGTTAATTTTATTTATACTATAGCTAAAAATTATATCAATTAAAGGTTTATAATTCCTTTAGGATATTTTATTCAGTTGACGCAATTATCGATTTGAATATGATTTCAAATTACAACCATAATAGCCAATATTCACATATTCTCCATCGCAATTCATATAATATATTGCACCGTCCATCTCAAGACGGAATCGCAGCAGTGCATGATAATGAAAGGCCAATATTGGGCTCCGAGCTGGACACAAACAAGACCGCACCTAAGAGCTATCATCTACTGGGGGTGCCTCCCCTTGGATCTTACGTAGAATTGAGAATATACTAGAAGTAATTACGGTTTTATTATTATAATATATGTACCTATATACTTATGATATTATATTAACATTTTAAATACTATATAATGTCTACTACATAAAGATAAATGTTACAAATAACAATAATAGCCTACATATATTTAGTTCATTTTCCGATATTTAACCTTTGATTAAATTTGAATTCATTAATCAAGCATAAATATAACTTATATATCGCCAAAGAAAAGTAATTCAACAAAAAAACCTCGAAGATAAACCTATATCTAACTTGAATCTAATCTTTCAAATTTCATTTTATTTCAAAAAACCTAGAGAGAATTTTCATCCAAGATATAAATTTTAGAGTACAAAAACCTCTGCAATCTTCATTTTAATACTCTGTTCGTCACACTTGAATAGGCCTACTGCCTACATACATTATCTGTGTCCAGGGTGGGAGGTGGGATAGGTATGGGGGTCTTCCGGCCGCTGTCTCCGACTCATCAGGGCTATCTTGGAAGGCCGCAAATTAAATAGTACCGTGCGACTGACGTACATATCTATGTGTTATATTGAAATGGAACGAATTCGGGTAATGTTTGGATGATATGTGATTAGGAGATTGGAGTGTGGGTACACCTACATACATATATGTATATATATATACCTATATGAAAAGCTAATCTTTTCAATGCTGATGTAATTCTAATTACTTCTTTAACATAGTGGTTTATACTTATGTTCTTAATTTGTTAAAAGTTTCGTTTAATTACGTAATAAGAAAAATTTTGTAACAGATAAATAAAATTGTCACTTTTTTAATTACGTACTTTTGTACAGAAGTATTAGTAGTTGGTACGGCAATTAAACATTTTAATGATATGTAATTATATAGATATAAATTATGCACCTATGTCGTATATGTAATCTGACAATACACACAATAAAAAATAAACATACATATTTCTTAGTCGTTTTTTTACCTATTGCTGAGTCAATATTATCTTAACTTAAGATATAATATACTATTATGATATAAGTAGAAATATATCAAAATATTATATTTTTCATTGGACCTAAGAATAATGGTTTAATTTTCTTTCCATTAATATGTTACATAGTAACAAAATAATATGTATGTACCTATAACCAAGGCATCTATACAAAATTCTTGCGAAATGTGCTATGTCATCTGTGGTTGCTTATTCATAGTTAACTATGTATATTATGAATCTGGTAATGTTCACATAATTATATGGTCGGCTTAAACAAACTTATTATATAAAATTATATATACTATGTGAGTATAAATTTAAACATATATTTATAAAACAATAACAGAAGCCTATTATGAAATTTTGAACCAAATCCATATAGATATTCAATTAATTTAATATAAATGTAATGTACATATACAAAGGTATAGACTGCGATAGGCAGGAAACATTAATATAATATACGTTTATTGATAATTTTATTATCTTATAAGAATATATTTACAACATAAACTTATTGAGATTAACCATGAGTATGTATGTATGTATGTATACTGTCAAATCGAATTTGGTTTAAAAGGATAATCGACATATACATAGTTAAATTAAAGCTTTAATATATATTTTTAGTTATTACATATTTTTCAATAGTATCTACAAAAAACATACATACAGACTAACAAGAATCTCCTTTTTAGAAAACAGGGCAACACCTTTCGATCGACACGTAAGTATTTTTGAGTTATCACTATAAATAATTCTATTTAAAAAAAATGGTGTTCTATGTAAATTATAGCTTTACAATCAACAATATTACAGATATAGTTTATAATAAAATCTAGAGTTAACAGAACAAGATAAAAACATTGTTACTGAACACAATACAAAAAGAAAATTTTACTTTATAATAGATACACTTTTAAATAACTACATTATCTTTAAAACTTATCGTATATATAATACATTTACAGTTGCATACACATCTGCAGTACATACAGTTCAGTCAACTGGCGGAGAGTCTCCGGACACCTCGTTCACACGTCGACCACTCAACAATGCGCGCGCACCGCATAGCGTGCAAAAACTATAAAACTACAAAATTTCCACAAGGAAAACACGTTTTCCGCGTCTAAACGTGCGAGCGTCGCGCTCTCGATGCCCAGACTAAACACAGGCCGTGAAAAAGTACCGCCACAACGCCGACCGACAATGGAAAGCGGTAAAGAATCATAATAATAACAATGACAACAATATGAGATGCTATAATAAAGAGTCGCGGCATTGTGCTAGCCTCGGCTGGTTCGAAGGGTCGCGGGGATCGATACTCGGGATTGTCAGCGGATACCGTGCGTGAGCCTTTGCGGCCTCGCCAGCGGCCGCGGCGCCCTCTGATAGACCATTCATCGCCGGCGCGCTCGCTAATCAGCTCCTATTCTCTGCTACTTCTACTTCGTACGAGTTATGAGTAACTTCATTAGATGAACTTAGGCATAAAAAGTTATTATAAAAAGTACGAAATAAGATATTTCATAGAGGCTTAGTTTAGCTTGGAAATCCAAAAATTACTGTCAAGACGAATACGCTGATAAAATTGAAGTTTTATTACGCTTTATTTTTTTAAATCGAGATATGTCGGGCGGTCTCTACATCTTTGATTCTGAATCAGGACAAAAAACAAATAAACTTCGGATTCCAATAAGACATGTACCTACCTATAAGATAAAATTTCGCCAGAGGTGTGAAGCGGGCAGCGGCGGTGTTCTTGATGATATAACGTCGAGTTTAATGTAATAATCCGTCGATCGGCGTTATCATTAGTTCGATCCAACACACCTCCCGCCGCTTTGCAGATTGACTTGCTGCACTTTCTTATTATGGATATTACTACTTCGATATAATTATAGGTACATAGGTATTTTTGTTATTTTTTACTAATTATCTAAATCTGTTTATATATTATGTTACTACTACCAATACTACAATATAGTAACAATGTATCAATATAACTTTTGACTATTTTGTTTGTACTTTAATAGCTCTGGAAGGACTTGAAATAAATGAAACAAGAAAATTCACGAATCGTAGATACATCTGAACCATCTATTTCTATTTTATAGCTTACATGTTAACACGATTCATGTATAAAGAAGAAGAAAAATTCATATAAAAAAATGCAGCGGGCATAGCCAGTCTATGATTCGTAGAGTCGGCGCGGGCGCAGAGAGCGCGCCCCGCGGCGCGTCCATCACGCATGCGCTCTGCAATTAAACTTATATCGGGATAATCCAATTATGTAACGCACTTCTAATTGTCTTTTTCCAATTTTTATAAATTATTTCTCGCTGCGTTTTTCCTCTGTTATCAAGTAAATAATGACCAAAAATTTAATTTATAAATTATATTTTCTAGTTCTTGTAGGTATTTTTAAATGTTATTTTATTACTTAAATATAATATAAGTAAATAATATTACGAGTAATGGAATAAATCTATACATATAATAAAATTGTAAGCAAGCTGAATCTGTACATTAGATATTTTTTCAAAATCTCATTGAAATGAGACTTGTGTGTCTGTCTGTCTGTCTGTTACCGCATCGCAAAAAAACCACTGGAGGGATTTTGATGAAATTTGGTATGGTGATAACTGGTTATCCGAGTCAACATATAGGATACTTTTTACTGCGGGGATATATCTCATTTCTGAAAAAAATTCAAAAAAAATTAATCAATTTCAAAAACTGCAAAGTAAGAGTATACTAATATGTAAAACCTAAGAATTGGGTTTTTGGTTATCTGAACGCGGGCGGAGCCGCGGGCAGCGCTAGTTATAATATAAGGTTGAAAACCAAATACATATATTATGTGGGTATTTTGCAGATAAATATTTTATCTGACCTGGTTTGCTTAGAATTTTACTTTGTAACTTGAAAATCGTCTAATTCTGAATATGTATTATAGAGAACATTAATTTAAATTTACTTAATATGTTTACGTATAGTTTTAACAGATACAGATGTTTTAAAGAATAGCGCAATATTTCTATGCAAATTTTTATGTGCACAATTGTCGTCCAAGCATCTATTAGATACTGCGCAATGCTGAGAATAATTTCTTGATTAATGATTGAAGAAATATCGCAATATCATCTGTCCACTAGTATCAATCGGTATTCTACCATTAAGCAACAATAGACTTGACATATAAGTACAAATATGTGAGCAACGTTTTAATGATGAGAACTTCGGAATTTGAAATGTAACCGTTAATTTACGCCGCCATTTTTAATTAAACGCGATGACTAAGTGCAGGGATCCATCACAGTCGGCACTCGAAGCCGATCTATTATTAATTATTATTTTGATCGATCACGCTCCGTCTTATTTTATTAAAGATCTCATGTTAATTTTGCTTTTTTGCGGCTGGATTATTAATTGTGCAGTTTAAACTTGCGTGTTAATTAATGATGGCGAACTAATGGTATGTAGCGATTAATGATACAAATAAATGGTGAATATGCAACACAATATGTATGAGAATAATATTTTCGAACCAGGTAATTTTATCTCGCTTTACTGATCAAGCTTAAATTTTCTGCCGAAATTAGAGGTGAGTTTATCCCTCAGCGAGTAATTCGTTCTTCTCGCAAGGGAACATTATCCATATGGCTCAACGACTTTTCGCAGAAATCAATAATCCGAAGCTTTTTTAAAGATATTCCTATAGAAACAAGCATGTTTCCATCCCTGTCCTATTTGGGAGTCAAAGAGGCCGCGGATTAGCCAACTATTTTTTGTTTGAGCAAAATTTGAAACGTTTTTCGATTAAACGAGAGATTTGGCGCGTTTCGATATTTTCGGAGTTTCGTTGAACAATAGGCTTCCGGGGACTGTTGCTCCCGATGTATTGCGTGAGAGGATAAACCCTGATCAAGTTTTCGGGAATTATTGTATATCGGGTGGATTTAGATTTATCAGGGAGTTTTCAAGAAAGTCGAACTGCTACGATTAATATAGATATATAGGTCTAACTT